CTCTGTAAACAGCTTAGAGAGGGCTGAAAGCCCTATGAAGCGGTATATAAGTCTAACTGCTATTGCTATTGCTATCCTTTTTGTTGCTTTTCTCTGCACTTTTTCTAGAGTCTCCACATCGTTTCTACATCGTGGAGATCAAAACTGAATGCAAATATTCCAAGTGTGGCCTTATCAAGGCCTTATAAAATGGTATTAACCCTTCACGTGATCTTGATTCTATCCCTCTGTTGATGCAGCCTAGGAAATAATAAAGGGCTTTTTTTTTTGACAGCTGTAGGACATTGCTGGTTCATATTTAAGCAATTGTCCACTAGGCCCTGCGGGGAAATTCTAAGCAGCTTGCAACAATAAAAAGAAATGAAAAGAGTGGAAACAAATACTCAGGTTTCCTTCCTGCAACAGAATCCCAAGTTTGAGTGGGGAACTGGCTGCATGAATGTACCGAATGTTGCATTTGGGGGGGGGGGGGGGGGGATGAAAGGAATTTAAACTTAAGTCCCTTTGAGTTTTGCAATGAATTTCATCAAGTCGATTCAGGTGTTTAGCATGGGGGAAAAATGTAATATTTAATGTAATATTCAAATATTTAATTTAAATTTCTCCTTCGTTCTAAGTTGCTTCTCTCCTTGATTAGTTTCCATCCATCGCTACTTGTCCTGCCTTCAGGTGCCTTGGAGAATAGTTTGACTCCCTCTTCTTTGGGGCAACCCCTGAGATATCGGAAGACTGCTATCATGTCTCCCCTGGTCCTTTTTTTCATTAAACTAGACATATCAATTTCAGAACAGTTCTTCATATGTTTCAGCCTCCAGTCCCCTAATTATCTTTGTTTCTCTTCTCTGCACTCTTTCCAGAGTCTCCACATCTTGTTTACATTGTGGTGACCAAAACTGGATGCAGGATTCCAAGTGTGGTGGAATGGACATTCCTGTGGCTCCCTCTCACGCTGTTTTAAGGTGATTGATGTCTTAAAAGCAGCGTTTCTCAACCTTGGCAGTTTGAAGATGTGTGGACTTCAACTCCCAGAATTCCCCAGCCAGTTGGCTGGGGAATTCTGGGAGTTGAAGTCCACACATCTTCAAACTGCCAAGGTTGAGAAACACTATCTTTAAAGTGATTGACAAAAGCCCATCTCTAGCAGTTCGTTTAATGATTATTCCATCACTGAAAAGTTTGAGTTAGGACCATTTTTCAGACTTATCCAGCGTCCCCATGGGCATGCTTGGCAACTGACTCACATTTATGACGGCTGCAGTGTCCTGGGGAGTCAGGTGTGATCCCTTTTATGACGTTCTGACCAACAGAGTCAAAGGAGAAGCCAGATTTGCTTAACCACCATGTTGTTAACTTAACAACGGCAGGGCTCAGCTTAACAACCGCGGCAAGAAAGGTTGCACAATGGGGTAAAGGCTCACTTAACGTAATATCTCACTTAACGACACGAATTTTGGGGTCTATTGTCGCCCGTTGAGGACGACACAGACCTTGGCAAAATATTTTAATTTTGACGGACTGACCCGATTGTTCTTTCAGTGGAATGCAGGTAGTCCTCGACTTATGACTGTTTGTATAGTGACGGTTCAAAGTTACAACGGCTCTGAAAAGTGATTTAGGACCGCATTTCTCCCTTACGATTGTGTGCAGCAACTCTGTGGTCGCGTGATCAAAATCCGGACAGTTGGCCCCTGACTCACATTTATGACGATTGCAGGGTATATGTGATCCCCCGTTTTGCGACCTTCTGGCGAACCGAGTCAATGGGGGAGCCAGGTTCCCTTAAGACCTGCAGTGATTCACTTGCGAGAAGAAAGGTCGTAAAATGGAGCAAACTCACTAAACAGCCGTTTGGTGGTGGTAAGGCGAGGACTACCTGTAAAGCTTACACTTGTGACGGGGGGGTGGGGGAGAGACATACCGCCAGATTGAACAGGAAAAGAGCTTCTTGTCTTCGTTGACCGCAATAATCATTTCCCATTGCTGAAATCAGAGAGAAGGGTGAAGGTCATTAAATAAAATTAGAATAGAATAGAACAGAATAAAATAGAAGAGAAGAATACAAATATATTGGAGAAGAGAAGGGAAGAAGAGAAGAAACGACACAATGGGATAGAATTACAGAATGGAATAGAATAGAATAGAACAGAATAAAATAGAAGAGAAAAATATAAATATATTGGAGAAGGGAAGAAGAAAAAAAACTGAATTGAATTGAATTTTATTATTTGTATGCCGCCCTTCTCCGGGAAGGACTCAGGGCGGCGAACAACTCAAAAAGGGGAAAAGGGGAACATAGAACAGAATACAGATAATTAAAATAAGCAAGAATCACGCAACCACACAAGTCGAGAGGGGAGGGGAACTCATCAACCCTTAGATATTGAAACACTGCTGTAATCTCACCTCTAGTCCTTCTTTTCATTAAACTAGGCATACCCAATTCCTGCATACAGTTCTTCATAGGTTTT